CCCTCCCACCCGCTCTGCGCAGGAGAGCCCTCGCTGCCCAAGAAGCATCTTTTGGGGCTCCTTTTACTGGAAAGGGACACCTTTGGGTTTAGGAAAGGAAAAGAGCAGCTTGACCAAGCAGAAGTAGTTCTCTCCTGTGGATCGCTGTCCAGAAAGCCCCATCTAGTGGTGTATTTTGTGATAAATTAATGCTGCGCCGTTGGGAATAAAAAAATGACGAGTCGCTTTATCCCTCTGGGTCCTGCAGGTACGCAGCATCTGTGGAAGCGCTTATTTATTTAACTGGGTTTTGGCTTGCTAAACTGAGGAAGGCTTGAAGGGCAGGATTGGTGCCAGCCCCCTTTAGGGGTGTCCTGACCTTGTGTGACCTTGAGATCATCCCCAGCTCTCGTCCACAGCCTTCCTGCCTGCGAAAGGGGACGATGCTGGGCTGCCCAAGGGATGCTGTGCGGCCGGACCCGGTGGCATCAGCAGAGCCCTGGCAGAAGGTGCCATCGGGGCAGGATTGCGGGTGCTGGCAGTTTGGGAATACACAATTCGGGGTGTCTCATCTCAGGGCTGATGCAAATGTTACAGAGAGGAGAGAGCAGGCGCCCTGAGTCATTCACGGGACTTTACAGGCACAGAAGCACCTTCCCTGTTTTAGAAGGAGGGGGTGGAAATCGGGCTGTAGAATCAGCTCCATTGATTTTTTTTTTTTTTTAATGTTTTTTTTTCCCCGGTGGCCTGATTCAGCATCTGCCGATGTAAAGCTTAGCTAGGACTTGGTTTGGCTTCTGTAAGGCGAGAAATAAATTTGATTGATCCAAGGTGCCCTTCTGCATCCCGCTTGGGTTGAACTGCTCCTGACACTAGACAGGCAAGTAACTTGTAAAGTGCTGGGGATGGGGGGAAGCCGCTGAAAAAACCCAGCCTGGATCTGCTGAGATAGGAAGTAGAGAGGTGGGATCGATCCGAGGAAAGTCCTGGGAGCGCTGCAAGCCCACCAGTGCTTTCTCAGAAAATTCTTCTGTAGATTGACTGGGGACACATCCTAGAGCATCCGTGGACAGAAAAAAATTCCCCAGGCTTGTTGGGGCAGATAAAGCGGCAGGCTGGGAGCGGTCAGGCTGGCAGGGCTGTGCTCAGCACTGCTTGTACTGGGCCAGAGCTGAGGCCAAGTGCTGATCCTCATCAATCAAGCTAATCGTGCTGTGCAGGCATTCCCAGAGAAGATGCCATTCGCTGGTAACGCTCGAGGTTTCAGGCAAGCAGAAAGCAGGAGCCACTCAGTTATCAGAGGAGTGAAGTGGGTGAGCTGAACTGGGAAGGCTTTGAAGGAAACAGTAAGTTTGGGCTGGGGTCCTCTCTTAGAGCTCGTCACTTCACCCAAAGGAGATGGTTTGAGCAATGCAAGTGTTGGCAGCAATGTTTTGGTACATTTGCTATGAGCCTGATTGTTGCAATCAAGAACCCAAAATAATCTGCCCTTCCTCTGCCGCAGGCGGCACTGGACATGCTTAAACATGAGCACAAACGGTAATTCAGGCAGAATATGAAACCGCTGAGTTTTTGTCTCTTCTTTCCCCTCTCCTTCCCCCCTCACTACCAGTTACTTCTGTCCTGCACAGGGCACTGTGGAGATGTGCCCAGAGAACCTGCTCCCAGACCCTTCCCTCCTGTCTGGCCGCCTGGCAATTTGAATTCACTTCTCAGCCCTAAACTTCAGGGCATATCTTGGACTAGTTTAACTTCCATGATTTCCCTAATTCCCCCGCTCTCCCCAGACACAGCAGGCCTGCTGCACACTGTCCTGCTCCACAGCTGAAAATGCCCTTGTGCCTTTCCAACAGTCGGTCACTGCTAGTTTATGTACTTGCTTGAAGTGTGTAAACACTTCCAAGTGTGTACACCAGCCTGCAGGTGTAGACACTTCCAGGGGTTTGTGAGCACTTTGTTCAGGAGAAGCAGGACTGTGCTCCACGGCAGAAACAGCCGCAGCGGGGTGACCCTGCGCCCGCTGCCACACCACATTTCTGGGGAAAAGAGCCTCGCTGTGCCCCTTCGTAGGGCTCCAGCTGCAGAGCGGAGGGGGACCAATACCAGTTTTAAATAACTGTATTTGTGCGTGTTAAAGATCTGTGCCCCAGCTCCATATGCAGGGACTCCAGGTTAACACTCGGCGAGAGGCAGGGTAATTGTTAGAGAGTCTAAAAGGGAGAAATGCTGCGTCTAGCAACAATACCATCCAACGATTTTAAAGAGGGCACAAAACCAAAACGTGAACAGAAACATGAGCAGACACCCTCTGCTGAAGCAGTTTGAAAAATAGCAGCAGCAAAGATAACTAGTACTAAATATTTACGTTTAAAAGGAAAGTACATATACCATATCTACTGAAGGGAGAAAGAAGGGCAACAGTGAAGAAAGCCCAACCAAAACTCTGTGTGTGGGTGTGAAGGGCAGTGCTGGAAGAGGTAGGTGAAGGGAAGGAGATAGTAAAGTACTAACCCGAGAGGGAAAAACATGTTCACGTATGCAATTCTGAATATTTAAACAAGGGAATTCACAGGTAAGAAGGTAAATGTAGTCAATAAGTTAAAGGTAAAATAATGACATAGCTGTTGTCATTATTCAAAATCAAATACCAGAAGACCAAAAAAGACCCCCTCCCCCAACCCCTGAATAACTCAGCAGTAACGACTAAGGTCGTTACAGACTTCCTTCTATAAACCTGTGATTGAAGTACCCAAACATCTCTCTTCTAATATGGAGGTAGACACGGGGGACGTGTAGAATGACATAAAATATAGAAATCGGTTACATTTAATTTGAGAGTACGAGCCGACATCACATGCTAAATAACTGCATGACGCTTAGGAGCAAGGTTAAGTTTTAGTTGTATTCTTATGTTAACTTATTTGGATTTATTTGAACTTTAAATCTGAACTTCCTGGATCCGTAGTGTAAATTTTAGGGATGATTAGAATAAAATCTACAGACAGCACTTATCATCTAGAACATCTGAGACTTCTCTAGCATAGAATACGAGGCCAACTGTCTACGTCTGCTACAATCTATTTTTATACAACTGCTTGTGACTCCTTGCCTTGCTGACCACTGATTTTTAAAGTGTAAGTAAAAATCGCAGTATTTTACTCGAACAGTGGTTTAGCATGTGCTGACACTGAAAGCAGACTTTTGGGGTATTTTTTTTAAAAAAAAAAAAAAAAAGGTTGTGAGGGGAGTGTAAGTCAAATTATCCAGGCTTTAATTTGCTGGGTATGGACAAACATTTATTAATGCAAGTCTCAGCAACAAAAGTTTTTATTTCAATTATTTTCAACCAGAAGGAATGTTATAGCTCTACACCACAAAGCCTGTTGATACACACTTCTCGTTTACCCTATTTCCACGCTGCTTTGTGTATCAAACATACTCAGAAACAATCTGTATAGATGGCTCCACAATCTCCAGTTCTGAGACAGCATGGCCCAAAAAAACTGTTGGCCTGCTTCACTCCCCCCTAAATTATTCCATCTGTAAAACACAAATAACAAAATATATTTTTGCTTCCAAGAGCTTCACTTATCTGCAGAAAAATAGAACTGCTTAAGAGTGAGCTAGTTAGATTACGAAAGGGTCCAAGCACACACCCTGCACATTCTGCACCTCCCAACAAATTTGTGAGGAGGAAGCATTCACAATTTGATCCAACTAAAAAGGAGCCATATAGTGTTCAAGGAAAGGAGATCCATCCTATCCAAAATACTGAATGCCTTCCCATTCTTCCCTCTAGAGCAGGATGAGGAGGATAGAGCTGCAGCTATGAAACATTTCTCTAAGTACTGGGACACATTAAAAATGAACCTTCCGAACACTGCAAAATTTCAGAACAAAACCTAAAAGGCTTTTTTTTTTTTTTCCAAAACATAGTGAAAACAGCATACAGAGCTTGAATATCCACAGCACAAACCGAAAAACAAAGGGAGTTCATTCGATCTACAGTGCTTTTGTTAAGGTATTCAGAGACTTTAGTGCATTCTTTTTAGAACTAAGCTCGGAAACTATATTCCATTTTTCATTTTATTAGAAAACTAAACTGTATGAGGCAAAGAAACATTTGATCAAACACACAACAGTGAAAACATGGCACTGACAAGGCATTTAACCCAACCATTATCACAAACTGTGATTCAGGATTCTCTATTGCTTTCAGTCAAGTATACATCATTTCTGCCATGTGAGACATTTTCTTGGGAATATATAAGTAGTATTCCATGTATCCAGAAAGATCTTCAATAGTCACATCATCCACAAAGGCTCGAGCTTGCTCAGAACAAGATCTAGGAGAACCTGATGAGGCTGTCCCACAAGGGGATCTATTTTGAAGAGACTGGGCATGGACTCCTAGGACTGCCTTTTCGCATTCTGACAGGACGCTCCGTAAGCCAGAGAAAGAGTACACTTCCATGGTTCGCCACTGTTTGCACTGGCATTTCTTGTCCGTACAAGGGCACTGCTTGCCATTGCTAAGCATGGATAAGGACTGGAAATCGGAGGTTTGGCTAGAATGCAAACTAGTTTCAAAGGATGAGGAGAGAGCAGGGTAATTCTCTCTTGACTTCTCCAAAGGCTCTTCGGCGGTGAAAGCTTCCAAAGGTTCAGTTCTGTCATCACTGGCCTCAAAGTGAGAATCGTATCTGTCCTTCGTACCGTGTTCTGCTGTCACAAAAATGTCTGAGCTGATACTACCCTTTGACGTGTCTGCCTGGGTTTTGTGTTTCAGCTGGTTGTTGGCTTTCATATTGCAATACGTAAACTTGGGAGGATGCAGCACGGGAGACTTGGAGCGTCTGCGACGTGGGACTCTTGCCGATCCCCTGGAAGGCTTTCTCACACACCTGCAGGGTTATAACAGTAAGCAAGTAGGTAAGCTCTAAAATGTGGCTAAAAACGTTTTAGAAGATTTTTTTTTTTTTTCTGCTTAGAAAAATCAGGTGACAGGTCACTCTGACAGGAACAGTGGAGGAGTCTGAAGAAATTGGGGCTCCCCCAAAGGAAAGACACGTACAAACAGCCCTTATTTAAAGGTACATCCCCCCAAATCTTTTGTGTTAAGCAAATGATACTTTGTCATCCCAAACTGAACTGTCATGCAGAACCTGGATATCAGTTGGAGCTGCTGGCAGAATTGCACTCAATATCCAGGTACTTCAATACAGAAATAAAATAACCCGAGAAAGATGTGAGAGGGGGTTGCAAAGGTATAAGACTTGAAGAAAAGGACTTCTGAGGAAATCAGTGGAAAATAAGGTTTTAGGTACCCTCTCTAAAAGAGGCAATATTGTTTTTAAAGTCTATGATGAAAGCCCCTTAAAAAACACCATATCAAACAGTTTCGGTAAAGTTTTGTAATAGAAAGGAGAGAAAAAATATGTTGAAGCAACTAATTAACAACAACTTTCATTGGAAACAGTATGCAAGCGTTAAATGTCTCAAACCAGAAACACATGCACGGTGCAGTGAATGGTCTGGTTTACCCATGCCATGCTTCCTTTGAGCAGACAGTCTGTTGCTTGGCTCCATCCACGGCTGCTCTTGTCGGAGTTCTGAGAATCGTCCCGTCGCCCACAGACAGAGCTGCAATACATCTGTGTAAAAAGGGAAATGCCACGTTACAGTATTGCCTGAACATACTGCTTCAGAGGTCTAGATTCAGCCTATTCGCTTTCGATGTTTAGCTACGACATTTAAGTTTGCAGCCTTGACTTCCTCTACAGTCACTGGTTAGAAACAGGCTATTACAGAGATTTATGTAACCGCTTTTACTAGATTGACCTCAGTCAAGTGTCTAAAGATAGGTGAGATGAAATGAAAGGAGGCCAAAATGCCCACAGGCTGATGTCATGCCTTATTTGCACCAAAATGACACATCAAAGGAATGTAAACTCAGGTTCCAAATGTTCTTGTCAGACAATAGTCGTTAAAGATAGACTCCTACTCGTTTAAAATGCTAAGTCAGGAACTCATAGCAGCAGGCTGAGTCGTCAGTGGAGAAGTGGATGAGGTACAACAGACAAGGACAGATTACTAATTTATTTCTCATTAAAGTTCCCAGATAAATATGGAATGAAAAAAAAATCTGGCCCTGGAGGTCCAGGCAACAAACATAAATGCCTTAGCACGCGAATCTGTATTTATGATGGCTGTATGTGTGATTTGGGACACAGGACAGGAAATCGTAAGAAATGAGGCTGAAATTCTAGCAGAAGAGCCCAAAGTACTTTGCCCAAAGTTGATCTTAAGGGATTAATCACAAGACTTGAGCTGTTCAAAACACATGCCTGCAAAACAAGATATTTTTATGCCTAAGAAGATATTATCAGAAACCAACCAGAATTCCACATAGTCTGTCACTGGCAATACATCAAAAGTGGTATGCTTAATAAGCATAGTTCCATGTTAGAGAAACTAACATGGAACTCTTTACATGTTTTTTCCACATTTAACAGAAGACCTCCTGAAGTAGAGGAAACGACTAGCGAAGCAAAATGTATTTTACCATGCAGAGGAAGTCATGAGTTCGCAGTACTGATGGCTATGGAGATGAATTCACAAGGTAACATTAATCATCAATATAAAGCTTTCTCTTGCATCTGTGAATTCCCAAAAGACTTCAAGTGAACTACCTCACGAAGTGTCAGACTGCCTAATTTTATTAACTTCTACTTTTAAGGAAGACACTTATACTACGTATTATCAGTATAGCCAGTGTGTTATGGAATAAGTTTTTAGTGTAAGAATGTCTGCAGACATTTTACTCTACAAAATCCCCTGAAATCAGAAACAATCAGTGCTCGTATTTAGCCTGACGACTTCCAGTGAGACTGGGCTCTCCAGCACACTACGAAGTGTTGGTGCTGTCCTTCCGACGCCTTCCAAGCAAACCTTCATGCACTACAGTAAAGGCTGATAATGTGGTTGAAGACACCAGCACTTACATGAACGGACAAACAAGTTCTGTATCACACAAGGTGACTATGGCTACCACAACAGTTAAGAGTGGGTTCACTGCTTTGGGCAAGTCATTTCATGTTTTCATACAGTCACTGTAATTTCAGTTGGATATTGTGTCAAAATTAGTCAGTAATAAAGTACTGCTTTGCCTATTAGACAGTTATAATGCATTTCATCTGAAGCGATACAGTTGTCTCCTCTTGGAGAGTAAGGAACCTTTCACCAAATGACATTTGTTTTGAGATGCAAAATAATAGAAAACAAACACAAATATGTAGTAAGAAACTGAAAGATGGCACAGTCCTTTTTGTTGCTCACTTCCCCTGCTGCATCCACTCTCAGCTTTTTGAAAGCTGTTTGCAGACTCTCTTCCTCTTCATCTTTAGTTTCCAAGTCCATTGATGGGCTCTCAGTGTGTAACCAACTGTGCCATATAGAATAAACTGAAATACAGAAATTAGCATTTGATGTTGAGGTCTGAACACACATGGTCACTACAAAACTGAAATGACACGTGTAATGGATGCTCGTTCTTCTGCGGGCAATCTCACCGCCTCCTGCCCGGCACTTTTCACGGTGAGCTCCGAGCCTTGTATTTCTCAGAACAGGCACGGCCCATGTCAAAAATAGCAAAGCATCTTTTTTCCACTGGCAGAACAGACGATATATACCCTGTCAACTAGTGTAATTTCAGTC